ATTTGGGGCTTTCCAATCTGGGTCGTTTCTGGTTCAATTGGTGGTGCACACTCCTTCATTGTGGTAAGATCTCAATAACCCAAAGCTTTATTTCGAAAAATTTCAAGTTTCTAAGCATAGATCTGAGAAATTTTTGCGATTGAATTGAGAATTGTTTTGTGGATTTTGAGTTGTGATTGTGTTTGAAGAAGAGTGGTTTGTGCAGTACTTGATTGTTAGGAGTGTGGGTGTTGAAATCTGGAGTGTTTGTGTGAAATTGCAAAATTTGTAGTTTGGGGGTGAATTGAAAATTTTTGGAAGTGTGGGTTGTTTTTGCAGGTTGGAAGTGACTGTGTAGAATTAGGTTTGAATTTTTGTGGTTAAAATTTTGGATTGGAACTTTGTTTGGAAAAATGGCTCTGAAAGTTAAGCAACCTTTCAAGGGAAAGAGTAAGAGTAAGGAGAAGAGTGTCGACAACCGATTTGTGAACGATGAGGCTCAAAAAAGGTATGAGGCGGCAATTCAAAGAAAGGACAAAGGGATTATTCCGGAGCGTGGTCTAACCGCTACTCAGGCTGTTGAATATTTATTGTTGAGAAATGTTAAGCATTGCTTCAAGTTTTTGTTTATTGATTGGATTTTGATTGAGGTTTGTTGAGTGGTTCAACCACCATTTTCATTTTTTTTTTTGCATGCGTAGATTCATTTTATGTGGTTAGATAAAGTCTTGATAATGTTGGTGGACTCTAGAACCTAGTTGAGAAGTGCTTGAGGCAAAATTCTAGGATTAGACATGGTTGAGGAGATGATTTAGGCTTTTTTTTTTTCCGGAACGTTTGAGCCTTTCTAGCCAACCCATGAATGAAATTTTCCCTAGTCACCCTTTTGAGCCGTATGAATTTTATTGCTGTATTTTTCTTGGAAAACAACAAATTTGTCAAATCCTTTTACCCTAAACACTTTATCATACCCTTAGGAGAATTCGGTCCTAGTGCAAAACAAAGAACAGGAAGAGTGTACGAATGAGCAAAAGAATAGTTTGGGGGTTGAAAGAAGAAAAATGATGAAGAGGCCAAAAGAATAGTTGGGGTTGAGAGAAAAGAATAAAAACAAAAGAGGTAGTCACCTCATTTTCAATTCAATTGTTGAAAAAAAAAAAAGAAGAAAAAACCAATTCTACCTCGTTTAAGGGTATACCGGCTAGAAACCAGAACCCGCCTTAAAAACTGCCTAGCAGTACTTGGTGACCTCGGGTATAACAATGCCACGTACGCCTTAAACGAGTCTCCCCTGCATTTATGGTATCCTAAAATAAGAAAGGTACGCGTTTGAGGGATATGAATTAGTGGACATGTCGATTAGTGGTTGAGAAGGTATGGGTTTCGATGTGATTTTAGTTTTGCTTTTAAACAACCGAGTTCTCTTACTTTGTTATTCCTATATCCTTTTTATTGGAACCCATTACCCGAGCCTAACGTTATAAGCTTTTAAAGACCTTTTGATTCTTACCTTTGTCTAGTCTTCATTAGTGGAGAGTAGTTCGATATTTAGGCTTATGGAGTCCGTCACCATTTGATAAACTTTACAATTTTTGCATAAAATAATCCGGGAAGTTGGAATGTGGATTGAAGTGGGGATCACCTACTTGGTGAACCGATTGAGGAAGACAGTCGATGTAACTTATAACTTCTTGGAGTGTTGAATATTTCCTGATAATAATTTTTCAACAACTTTTGAGACATGTGCAATTTCTAGGTAATCCTTTGTAGAGTTGAGTCTTGTTGGTTTTGTTTTTTTTTTTTTTTCAGTATTGTTGTGTGTGTTTTGTGTTTTTGTTTCTGTTTGTTGTTTGTGTTTTTGTCAGTTTTGTACTGTATGCTCGGCGACGAGCATATCTCTAGTTTGGGGATAGTTGATAATCCGTGAATTATACACTTTTCATGATACCTTTTTGTCGGATTTCAGGTACGTTCTAGTGCATTTTGACCTGAATTGTTACTTAATTCTTTACTTTTCGTATTTCAGGTTAAAATGGACATTTTCAGCAATCCATATGGAATCCTCTGGTGGGTTAGTCCAGTGAACTTGCTGCGGTATATCTGCCTACAACAAGCACCCATGTGTTGCACCAGGTTGTCACCAAACAACCTTGACAAGTGAGATCAGTCACTGCCTTTCGACAGGGTCGTTCAACACTATGATAGCCTTACCGTATTATCTGTGCCCTTACTTCAAAATAATACTGGGGCTACGGACGTTTCTAGAATGGCCATCATATGTGCTCATAGGGTTCTCACTATCAAGATTTGAAACACTTGATAGCCTCGTCGCAGTTCTACCATTCTAAGGACATATATCAACACATATTGCAATAATAATGATTTACGCGATATAGGATAAAATGCCTTTTATTATTGATTAATGAACATTATTACAAAGAGTCAATTCTACAATAATTGATTGGCTTTAGGGCATCTACTCTAACACAATGTACCAGTTGAATATGACATACAAATTTTATAAATTCACAGATCCATAAAGATATCTTCCGTGCATGAAACTTCAATTCTGAATGAGAAATTTTTTAGCAAAGAACTATTCAATGACAAAACAATTAACAAAGGTAACAATCTAGCAATTAGCAAAAGCCATCTTGGAGTATTGAGAGTTATGCACTGTAACTTCTACATAAAGTGGTCATAATGGCACTATGACAGCAAACTAAATGAAGTAAATTAAAAGACTTTTCTTCAAAGTCTAAGGGTAGAAGCACTTGATACACATTCGTATGAGATCTATGCCTAGACCTTGAAAGAGTAGACTAAAATGTCGTTGAGAAGCTTCAAGTTCTTGAAATCGAGTAAAAACAATTTTATCAAGGAAAAGTAAACAGTATACATATGCGAACCAAAAACGTTTCCCTTATCAATGAAAAATTCAGTGCATCCTCTTCTGCTCTAGGCAAAAGGATTCTTCTTCTCAAACCATCCACTCAAGTGAGGAATAAGTTTAGGTACTAAAACAGAGAGGATCCAATTAACAAAGATCTTCAATGCATAAAACGTAGATGAAACAATAACAAGTTACAAAGACTAGTAAGTCAAGCCTGCAAATTAGAGAAAAGATATCATTACCTCCTCAATGGTCGAAAAAGTGCATAGAAGGGACTTCTCGAAGACCTAAATATGATATAAAAATCTTTTTAAACAAGAGTAAACCTCTATGTTTGTAAAAGGCGCAGACTAAAATTCCAACACTAAAGTTTGTGAAACTTCATTGCTCTTAAGCTACTAATAAAAATCTCTCATAATTCTCAACAGATGAAGGGTAACAATTGAAACTTGTAGTAGATATCTCTTTCTCAGGTGCATGGCAACATTCCAAAGCAAGCAAAGATCGAACCGAAAGATCACCGACCCAAGAACAATTTTTCCTAGCCTTGGAATGAACATCCCGCATGATAAGAGCTTGAAATTATATATTTTGTTAGTGATTTAATTGGATTATTTGTGGAAAAATGTGTTTAATTTGTGGAATTTAAATTAATTATTTCATAAATACCTTTTTATGGGATCACAGGTGTATTTTGAGTATTTTCAGGTTCAAACCGATATTTGAAGGAAAAAGAATGATGTTGATGGAATTCGTGACACATAGGAACAAGTGGTGCAAGAATCGGAGTTGAAACGAGAAAGTTGTGAAGCGTCAAAGATACAACGTAAAATCTGAAAATCCTTCAAGATGTTTCGATTAGAACTTGAGTTGTAGAAATCAGAATTTGACAATTCTTATGACGTTGGAAAGCTTATTCAGAGAGCTACAAGGTTTGTGTTGATAAATTTACTAAATTCTGAAGATCACAGACTTGTGGGACAGAAAGAACGATCACTCAGCGATGGGTCATAGGCCTGTTTGGGTTTATTGCATTCTCCTAGTCCGAATCTGAATGGGTTAAGGCATTTAATTCTTTCCTAAGTAACCTCCAAACCCTAGCACTATAAATAATGGTCTTTAATTAGTTTTTGGGGAGGAGAGAAGGAGAAAGGACGGCTACTATTTTGGAGATCAGAATTCTTACAGTTCTCGTTCACCAATTAGAGAAGTTTTTTCTATTTTTCTTTCTTGAACTCATGTTATTGAATACAATGGTTGTTTTTATTACTACAATTATGAACTAAATTCCTTTTCTAGGGCTAAAGATGTAGCCCAATTTATGAATTTGTGTTGACGTTATTGTTGTTAATTCTTATTGAGCATTAATTCTAAGTTTTATTATTGTGTGTAATGCATTCAATTCTTAAGGATCCGAGGGTTGAATGATATCATGAGCTAGATTGGGATCGAGAGACGAAACTTGATTTGTCTAAGGTAATAAAACCATAGATTGAGCGAATGCTAGAGATAGGTTACCGCAATTTATAAGGCTCTGGTAAATTCCATAGAACGTAATGATCTCTTAGCTTCTAAATTCAACATAGAGATATTTTGGGTTGTTGCTTAAGGGTTAATTCGCTAATTGTTCGAGAGAAAGTTAGTGGAATATTAGGGAGTTTGGCCTTTAGAATAAGCTTAATTAGGTCAGCAATAATTGTCAATGCATATGATTAAATTGGTGCGAAATATGTGCCCTAGGTTTAGTCATATTGATCTATTTACCAAAGTATTCATAAAATTCTGCTTTTGTTTAATTTTTAGTTTGTTATCTTTTTCATTAAATTCATTCTTAAAATTATGTTTCATCAAATAGTAGCAAAATAGACTAGTTTAGTACTTGGTAGGTAGTTCTCTTGGGATTCGACACTCGTTTATTTGAGCTTTATTACTTGCGCAATTTTGTACACTTGTGAATAACTTGTTACCGTACAATATTTCCTACCTAGAGGAAAAAGAGATGATTAATTGCTAAAATTACAAATACCTGGAACATAAAGAATTGAAAAGAGAAAATATGAGTGAAACCTTCAAGGTTTTATCCAAATAGCGAGTATAACAAGACAGGGATCACTTGATACAAGAAACTCGATAATAGCACGTTCATAGAGAAGTTGAACACAGGCTGGATCTCTAGAAGACTGTTCAAACTTCAAGTAGATCTATAAAAATTTCAAATTAAAATAATAGTATTAACACTTTAAAGAAGGAAAAAAAAAAAAAAAAAGTAACCTATTGCCAAATTGCAAGTTCTTGTACAACCCCACACCCTCAGGGAAAGAAGAAGAAGAAGAGAAGATCTGAAGTTTACATAAACTAATTACTTATATTAGAAGCAAGAAAGACCATAAGAAATTGAAATTATAATGAAATTTCAACAGCAACTTTGTTGATAAACAACTTGACCTAAAAGCTTAAGCTTGAAAAGGTAAGGGCACAACAATGATATTCAACTTTGTAACAGGCAACTTCACATGTTACATAAACCAAGCCCAAATTCAGACAGAAAGACCAACTCAAATATAGTAGGATGTAATAGATGGGAGACTTAAATCATGACCTCTACACTTTAATATCATATTAAATTACCATTTAACCTAAATTCTTAAGTTATCACATAAGAACCCAACATTATCATTTAGCTGTCTAAAACAATATCTGATAGTAAATGCCATATACCATGAATTGTTGAAATTTTTTTAGAGTAAGATTTATCCTGCATTGTAGTCTGTTCTTCAAAATTAGCTCGAGCATTATACGTCTCCAATACCTTTTTGAGGCAACGGTAGAAGGAATCCATCTAAATCACCTGATTCAATATCTAGAGCAGTCCACAGTTCCACCTCCCAAGGATTGTAGGCAAAAAGGATTGACCTTAAGTTAGCAAGGGGATCAGACAATTGTCGGCGAAATATACTTCAGATGCGCTGAACCTGTTTTTCTTATTCTTGCAAAAGAGCAATAATTTTCCAAATGTAAATTTTGAAAACAGATTCTTTTTCTTGGTACATGGCACTTCATAGGGAAATGAAAGAACAAAATTTATGAACTATACATAAATGAAAAAAAGAAGAAAAAAAAGTTTCTAAAATAAACAGGTCATGCAACTTGAGCCATGGTTCTAGGAAATATAAAGGAAGACCCACAAAAGCATTATTAACCATAATACCAAACAAGTAGGATGGAATAAGACTTTAAATAATCAAGTAAATTGATTAATAGAATGCATCCCCTTCAGGCACATTTTCTAAAAAGTTTCTAATATATATATGTTATAAATTCTCACCTTAATGCTGACCTCATCTATGGTATGGAGAATGGCTTGCTCAAATTCCCTGTATGCTTCCCATATTTTACTACCTTCAGCAACATGCAAACCAATAGTAGTTATAGCACGCTTAAAGAGATCTCTTGCCTTTGCAATACCATCAGGTGAAAATTCACGTACAGATGGATCATATTCTTGCATAAATCTCAAGCAGTCACACCAAAGTGAGACAAACTGCATCAGAACAAGTTCTAGTCATTCAATTTTACATAATTACTTAGATAAAGGAACTCCAAAGAATGAAATTAATGTTTTTATCCCCTGATTCCACATATATGCAAAATCTGACTTAAAGTACCAAGAACTTAATTTTCCACAAAAAGTGGGGAAAAAGATGACAACATGGAATTACAACTTCCAAAATGTATTACCACTTAAAAAAATTGATTTATGTTAGAAACCCAGAACTTTAATCACTCAATACAGATAAGCACTTCAATGAACAAAGGATTTCTGAATAATACTGATATCTTCTATATTGATTTGACTTTGAAAATGGAAATACAAACTTCTCATGGAAAAGTGTATAGAGATGACGAAAAAGAAATATATGATAGCCTAGAAAATCGAGGAGCTAGAGACCTCCCAACAATTCCCACTAAAACATATTCTGCTTTCTTTCCTTTCATCTGCCCAAGTTTATACTAACTAATCACAATATTCTCACCATTATCTCCATGTGCTTAAGCTGACAAACTCTCACAGCCAAACCACTAATTACCCCCTTGATCCCTTCTCTTGTATGGAATTGGTGGTGCTCTATCAATTTCCACTCCCTAGAAGTTTGAAAAAGTTTTATCCTATTGCCCAATTTGGTAGAGAAATTTGATGATGCATCGAAAAAGAACCATCTGTCATTAAACACCATCACAAATGTAAGAATATTGATACCCATTATGAATTGCAAGGCCTATAATCATCTCTACCATACAAATGAAACTAATGAGCCATTTTGTTATTAATAATTACTTTTTGGAAAAATTCAGCCATTCAAAAGTCATAGATCCCGCAAACTGAATTTTTTTATCAGAAAATTATTTTTAGGAAAATAACTAAAAATACCACAAGTGAGAATTCTTAAGATCACTATGTTTTAATCCTTAAATCAATGCATAAAGTAATTCAAAATCCATAATGATAATAAATACCTACCAGATAATCAGAAACTCCTCTTTCATAAATCTTCTCAATACCTGGAAATGCCTTAGGTCTAAAAAGTTGAAGCAGAGAATCAGCAAGAAACTATCTTCAGCTAGATAGAGCGATAAAATCTTAAAGTATACCTAAAGCTTTAGTATCAGTCATGTAGAACAAGAAAATATCAAAATCTTAAAAATTTAGCTTACCACCTTTTTATTTTTTTGCTTTGGAGTTAACTGTCATCAAGAGGTACACTTACTGACTTTCAACATTGAAATTCATGTTTTGGAGAAACTAATATATTTATACTAAGAGAAATGAGTTTTGCAAGAGAACAAGCTGGTTGTCCATAAAAACAATGACAAGAGGGAACTCAAAATCTATAAACAAACAAAATATCAGATAGCTGCAAATTATCGAAAACTAACCTCCCAAGTCAACCATCGCTACTTCTTAGTTGCAACATACGAAAAAGAAAAAAAAATAGAAAGGAAGAAAGCTCAAAACATCATTTCTTTTACTCAATTAAGCCGAAATTTGAGCTAAGGCTCAGTAGATAGAAGTCACGTAAACTTGAATTCAACATCATTTTCACCATTTAAAACCCAAAAGATAAACACTTCCTCCTTTCAAATGAATCCATTTAATTTTTCTCTTTATACTTTCTCTCGTTAACCATAAACCCTAAGTGATCAAAATTTGATCATGAAACCAATAACAAGAACACAAAATGAAAAAAACTAAAACATACCCATTTGAAATAGAAGCTTCATCTCGAGCCCACTCTTGCCACATAACATGAGTCAATGGAAAAATCTCATTCATAGCCTCTCTTGCTTGTCTCAGCTTCTCAATCTCACCCATATTCCTCGAAACCCTTATGTACTAAAACTACCAACAAAAACAATAAAAAAGCAAAACAATGTTATCACTAAAAACAAAAATCCAAGAACTGGGTATTGAAATTCATATTCAAGTTGATATAAAAATGTACTTGAACATGGACTTCATAGTTGGAGGGCTCATTGGTGAGATAGGACAATATGTTTTGAAGCTCAAATTTTTGCTGTGCTTCATCTTCTGAGTCTGAGTCACTTGACTCTCTCTAGTTTGGAAAGTTGAGCTCCGTTGCTTCTGGGTTTTCGTTGGTATCCGCTATAGCCATGTCTGTGTCTTCTTCTTCTCAGGTTTTTGGCACTAGGGTTTGATCTTCTGGTTCCATTCTTCTGCTTCGTTTGCTTTGTGTTTCTCTCAAGTGTACTGAAGAGTTTGGTTTATTGCACTGCTACCCAGAGATTTAGCGTAAAAACAATATATATAAATCTCTCCACAGATATACTCGTAATAAAAAAAAAAAAAAAAAANAAAAGATAATCACTTCCTCCTTTCAAACGAATCCATTTAATTTTTCTCTTTATACTTTCTCTCGTTAACCATAAACCCTAAGCGATCAAAATTTGATCATGAAACCAATAACAAGAACACAAAATGCAAAAACTAAAACATACCCAGTTGAAATAGAAGCTTCATCTCGAGCCCACTCTTGCCACATAACAGGAATCAATGGAAAAAAATCTCATTCATAGCTTCTCTTGCTTGTCTCAGCTTCTCAATCTCACCCATCTTCCTTAAAACCCTTATGTACTAAAACCACCAACAAAAACAATAAAAAAGCAAAACAATGTTATTACTAAAAACAAAAATCCGAGAACTGGGTATTGAAATTCATATTCAAATTGATATAAAAACGTACTTTAACAGGACTTCATAGTTGGAGCGCTCATTGGCGAGCTAGGACTCGATAATTTTTGTTGTGCTTCATCTTTCGAGCCTGTGTCTGAGTCCGAGTCACTTGACTCTCTTGAGTCTGGAGGGTTGGGCTCTGTTGCTTCTGCGTTTTTGTTAGTATCTGCCATAGCCGTGTCTGTGTCTCTTCTTCTTGGGTTTGATCTTCTGCTTCATTTGCTCTGTGTTTCTCTCAAGTGTACTGAAGGGTTGGGTTTATTGCACTGCTACCCAGAGGTTCGGCGTGAAAATTTTTTCCTTTGCCATAACATAAGGAAAAAAAAAATAAAAATAGAGAAAACAAACAAAAGAAAAAAAAAACTAAACTAAGATCTTAAATTAATCAGGAAAAGTATTCAAAATGTCTTTCTCATTCTTTACACATCATTAATAGGAACAAAACCCCATTAGAGGTGACAGGGTTATAAACCACAAATTGTCTAATAAAGAAAGCATTTCAAATGTTTTCTTTTAAAATATACCTCATCACAATACAAAAATTGCATGAGAGTAATAAGTCACAAAAACCAATCAATTATGGAAGAATCTTCTTGCAAGTGTAATACAAGAGTGACCATAAAAGACCTTTAAGCGTTTTCCCATCCGATACCTTTAGAAGGCGAGCAACTTTGCAGAATCCTGCTTGTATATATACAAACATTCTTCAATTATTGATGGTTTCATTCCATTCTTACAAGGTTTTGGCCTTGTAAAAGCCCATTGCCCATACAGCCAAAGAATGCATGTAACTTAGCGCTCTAAAACAATCAACAGTGGTCCAAGCTTCAGGAGTTTAGAAAGAATAACTACGCAGAAAACAACAATGAGTCAGTGAATTATCAAGAACAAATAGTTCGAAAGCAGATAATTTTCAATGTAAATTATGCAGAATATAAAGTTTCCAATTGTAATCGGCAGAAAACTGTCCTAAAGGCAGTAACCTGATGCTGCAAGACGTAAAGGACGGGTGCAAACGGGTATTTAGTCCTTATCTTCTACATTTTAGGATAGAGTATTTCAGTCTTTGGTATCCCTTTCTTGATTTCTCCTCTTAACCTATTAATTTCTCTCTATCTCCCTACATAGAATCCTATATTATCTATCTATGTTATTCTTCTCCTCCTCCATCACCTAAGGAGCAAAAATATTATCTACTAGACATTTTAACTATCGGAGTTTTGTCCAACATTTCACAATATCAAGAATCTACTAGAAAATGGTTAAACGGCACATCCACCAAAAAAAAAATAAATGAACTAACAAACAGATGATGCAATGAAATCCATACAGATTTGAGATAGATTTAGATCTAAAAAACATAAACTCATACCTTAGTTAATAGCCTATTAACTAAGCTATAAGATAACAATGTTTGATAAACTTAGCAGGTTCTTACCCGAGTCCATTTTCAGACCATGCTGCTTCATAGATTTCAATGGCAATTTGAAATCCCATATCAACCAAATCTCCACAATCAGCGCTATAGCAACTGCATATGTTACACCGACCATATTTTCTTGAATGTAATGTTGTCATGTCAACTGTTCCAATAGGTAGATCCCATTGATTGGTGCATCCATATTCTTTAAGATATTATAGAGAAAAACCTTCTCTAATGCTTTTTTTGCTTTGTCTTCATCAACTATCACTAAAAGAGCATATGCTCATGCATAACTATATTAGAGACACACCTGGTAAGTTCTTGTCTTATCAGATTTGAACTAAAAAGAATATATATTGAGAAATAGAAACATGTGAAACACTATAAATAAATCAAGATTTATCAGGCCTGGATAATTGAGAATATCAATGAATGAAGTTAATCAGTTGCAACATACCATTGTCCGGTAAACTGATTAGCTTGAATAGAAGAACTTGAGCGGCTACCATTATTGTCGTAGTTGAAGTAAGAACCATTCCACAATTCCTCATAAATAACTTTTGCTTACCGAAATTTACACCAAAAATAATCCTCAAACCCTTAAGATCTACTACATGTGCAAATCCAAACCCAACCTACAATGCTGCCACCTCCAATATATGTACTTACAATAGAGATAGATTACGTATCATATGTCTGATCAGGAAAGCTATCATTCTCAATCATCCCCATCACCATCCCTATCAAATTCAAACAGATAAAAATGTTTACAGAACCTTCTGCTTACCGTAACCAATATAGAGCATTTGGGCAGCTGGATGAACTTTTGCAGGATTCTACTCCGAAAAAAACTTTAATACTCGCTAAAGTTTTATCACATAAACATCAATTTCGCTTTTGGACTAGAAATTGAGGAAGCTCGTTCAAACATTCACTATAATTTTCGGCCTTCATTAGTAACTGCATGACTAAGGACATTGTACATTCAGTCGGTTTCACATTTCTCTCCACCATCTTATGAAGGAGTTCAACAACTTTTGGTATCTCATTATTCTTGAGGAAACCAAACATAAGTGTATTAAATGTGACTACATTTGGAGCACAACCTTTTTCCTCCATATATGACAACAACTCATTTGCCATTTCTAGTTGTCCATTTTTACACAGCCCATTGATCAAAAGCTATATGTTACAACATCTAGCACTAGGTTTCCATGAAGAGAAAACTTCTGAAATAGGTCCCAAGCAGTTTCGAATCTCCCTGTTTTACATAATCCATCAACAAGGGAACTCAAACCTTCAATGCTAACTGCAAACTTATTATTTACTAGAGCATTAAACATTTCCAATGCTTCCAAAACACATCCGTTCTTGCAAAGTCCATTAATGAAAATGCTACATGTCCAAGAATCAGGAAAAACATCGTTAAGTCGCATCTCACCAACTAAATTCCATGCATCTTTCACCTTAGCTATAAGAAAAAAGCCAGTTAACAAGGTGCTATATGTAATCACATCAGGCCTAATTCCTTCTGAAATCATCTCCCAATAAAGACTAAGAGCTTCATTGACTTCTTTATTCTTGCAATACCAATTGATTAAAGTATTGTAGCAAACAACATTAGGTCTATACCCCTTTCTAGTTATAGAATCAAACAACTCCCTTGCATCACCAATTCTATTTGCCAAGCAATAACCGTTTATTAAAATGTTGTAAGTATAAATGTCAGGAACCACACCTCTCTGAATCATATGTTCCGACAATAGTTGTCTAGCCTTCTCAACCAATCCAGCCTTACAAAGACCATCAATTATAGTATTATAAGTAACAACATTTGGCCTACAAATAACACCAAATTCTTTACTCCCATTAACCATCTCTTTAT